GAGCTGGGCTGCCTTGAGTCGCCAGCGACGGCGTAGGATGCAGCCCCTGCTGCAGTGGGTTGCCATGGGCTACCGTGTGTAGCCAGCAGCCGCAGTGAGCTGCCTCGCCCGGGAAGAGCGCGATGATGGTGCCAACTTGGGCCAGTGAAGCAGCGTCCTCCACAACTAGACTGAAGAACAAAAGGATAGCAACTTGTCTGTTCCCCTTCTCCCAATTACCCAATTAAAAAAAAAAATCTAAAAAAAAATAAATAAAATTGGCTTTGTGAGGTAGGTAGATGGTATGATCTTTTAGTGTGGGGGAACGGCAGACATGGCCATAACTTCTGAAGATCTGCCTTTGATAAGTCAGTGGCGATGCTTAGATCAGATTGTTCCAGTTTTGCATTAGGTTGATAAATTCTAATAATTAACAATGAAGCCAGGCTCAAGTCTAAGCCTTAAAATCCCTTAAGTAGCTATTTGCTACCTTGTAACACTATTCCTGTTTCAGTTGTTGAAACACTCATTCATAACATGTTGGAAGTACTGAGGAAACCTGATCCTTTACTGAGAGATTCGATTTCTTTCAGTAAGAGCTGTTGGCAGCTGTTTGGTAGGGTGTCTTTTGTGTTCTTCTGAAATCATTTATTGACCACTTGAATGTCTTACTACTATACACAGTAAAAAGACTCTGACAGGTATATTCACTTTATACCTAAGGAGTTGTTGCTTAACTATGTATTTAGTCATATGTTTAGTGAAGTTGCTAATGATTTATGTTATAATGTGTATTTAATATGCATTATATTTTATTGTTTAATCACACCATTAGGAGGATAGACTTAAATTTAGCAACCTGTTATTCCTTCTTATGTGTACTGTCTTATGAACACCAAAATGTATAATTTTTATCTTTTTTATTTTTAAAATAATTTTTTCCACATATTTTTAAAAGTTTTCTGATTTGGGGGGGGCGGATTTTGGAAATCCCACCAGTATTTGGAGGCATTGTCTTGATTTCTTTAGTTCGTTTGCCATTAGAACTTAAAGGTCATAAATATTCATCTCTTACTGTAATTAAAAACTAGAGTGCCACCTAAAAGCAAAGTTTATTATTGAAATTAAGTCTAGGGATTTTAAAGTTTTTTGTTTTTTGTTTTAATAGAACTTGGAATGTTTGCATATGAACAGTGCTGAGTGGGTGGGATTGCTTTTGTATCCAGAAAGTGGTGACAAAATGCATATTGGTTTTTTTATAAATGAAATCAAGTTCTCTAAATTATTTCATTGTGAGACTAATAAGCATTGTACTACCAAAATGCAGTGGTTCTTTATTAGGAAATTTGATTTTCAAAAGATCATGTATACATAACACAGTAAATTGAAATTGATAGAAATTTTCATAAAACATTCCCTAATTTTTACTTATTTAAAATTACCTCTTCCATGCATTTTGGGATTGTTTCGATTTTTCTTTCATAGACAAGTCATGTTTTATGACTTAGAGAAAGAACCTTTAGAATGAAATAATGTCTGAAATATTTCTTATGTGTTTCAATTGAGGATGCCATCTGTTCATTTTGTGGTAGGTAATGGTGGCGAAGTTGGGTGATAAAAGCATTTTAAAATGTTAAGGCTCTAACTTAAGCTACTAAGTGATCTGCTCTGCTTTGCCAAGTCATGGAATGTGTTTATTTTAATGTTTAAATACACACAGGGAATAAATTATTTCCACATTGAAAGGTAAGATAAAAGGCAATCGATGCTCATCTCTTGATATCTTAATTTTTATTCCTGATCAGTAGTAGCATTACTGCTGTGCCATTTAATTATATTGTTCCTTTTTTTAAAGACCTAATTTGTATGTTGACACAAATGCAGAATAGATGAAAAACCTGGCATGCCTGTGAATGTTCTGTTGTATAATATGTGCTTTTCTTAATTATTTTTAACCCGCACTTAGGTTAATTTGTTATAAATGTGTTTATGGCTTACCACAGCATATTAGGTAAAATTAACTCGCAGCCATTTCATTATGGTTAGTGTTGCGCATTTCCATCATTTATATTGTTTAACTTGTAGATCTAATCTCTAAATATATATCCATCCCAAAGACCTTTGGGCTTCCTTCTTTGGTGCTCATGGAGTAGGATAAGGAATGTGAAAGAGACTGTCTTGTGAGTTTCTGGGTAGCAGAGTAACCTTATAAAAGGCCACCCTGGGAGTTAATGAGCTACATTGTTATTCAGAATTTATTCAACAAAAATTTTCTGGCATTAACTGTGTTTTTTAAAACTTTAAACTTTTTCATGAATTCTAAAATGCCTTAATAGTTTTTAGTCTTTTTAAGTGGTATGTATATGGCATACTATTTACATATGGGACAAATATAGAATATAATTTATGCCATGTTGACTCCAGACTTCTTAAACATCAGTTACTATACTATGTTGTGATGAAGGTCGGAGACAATTGAGATATATTAAATGATTTGCCCTTGCCTATGATAAAGCCCTCAAATTGTCTTGCTTTTTGAATCAGTTTTTGTATTTGCATCCTGTAATTCTCTTCTTAGACTGTCAGCTGTCACCTGGCAACTATCATTTAGTATTTTGTTGCCAGCAGTGAGTTCCTTCCTAATTTACTGGTAGAACTAAGATGTAGTCTAAGAAACTATGTAAAGAAGTGATTGATTTACCTTATTATTAAATAGTTGATTTTGCCTCAGTTTCTGAACTTTAGAATATATAATCAGGATTGTGAGGTTTTTTTAAAAAAAAGATAAAGTCTAGAGGCCCTCATTGAATACTCAACTTTTTTTT